TTCTGGAAAGATAAATTCCTGTATTTTACTGCACATGACATTAGCACCTCTGTGGCTCCTGGATTACGTTCATGAAATTGACTCAGGAATGCAAAAGGACTTTCTTCCTAAAACTCTCAACAGCAGAAGGCATCACAATTGCTCCACAAGCAGGAGAGAAGAGCTTCAAGGTTGCTTTAAGATGTCACACACACCCGCATGCTCTTGAGATTTCTGGGGTGAAGGACAGATAAGGGACAGGACACTTTACCCCTGATTAGATAGGACTTAATGTGAGCTGGGCTATATGGGCAAGTAAAAGACTGCATTGTTACTAGAAAAGGTCTGTCCTTACGATAGTCATCAGGTATTTTTTGGTTAAAAATGGCAAAATCGAGGCGCAGGGTCCACTCTTGCGACCCTTGGGGACCGAGAGGCTTAAATCCGCTATTCCCCTCACAGCATCTGGAGAGGAGGTGGGAGGGAGGGAAATGCTAGCCGCACCTGTAAGCTCAGCACTCTTGTGAAGCAAGAGAAGTCCTCGAAAGCGGAACCAGCCACCACAGGAACCAAATTCCTTCCCCTTGGGGATGTGGTCACTGGTGAGGGGGCCCTGGTGGCTGCTGCCTTGGCTCTGCTCCTGGCCAACACGGACGTGTTTCTGTCCAAGTTGCAGAAAGCAACACTGGAGTATTTGGGGGACGGAGACCTGAAAACAGTGGAGAAGGACCAGGGACTTTCAAAGAAAGGAACTCTGGGCAAAGGGTGGAGCCGTAATCATGGCTGTGCGGAGGCCAGGCTGTTTCCTCTGTCGGGAGGAGGCTGTAGACCTGTCCTCCCTGAAGCCCAAGTTGGACGAGCTGGATGTCCCCATCTATGCAGTGGTGAAGGAGCAGATCAAGTTTGAAAGTCAAGGATCTCCAGCCTTATTGCAAAGGAGAAATCTTCCTGGATGAATAGAAAAAATTCTACGGTCCTCAAAGGCGGAAGATGATGTTTATGGGATTTGTCCTTCTGGGTGTCTGGTATAATTTCTTCCAGGCTCAGAGTGGTGGCTTCTCTGGAAACCTGAAAGGGGAAGACTTCATTCTTGGTGGCATTTTCATGGTGGGATCAGGAAAGCAGGCATTCTCCTTGAGCACCGAGAGGAAGAATTTGGAGACAAAGTAAACCCAGATTCTGTCCCGCTAGCTGTTAGGAAGATCAAGCCACAGATTTTGACCTCAGAGAAAAAGTGATTGTTTAAAACCGCCCTGCTCAGGGAAGACGAGGGGCACCTCATTTTTCCACTCATGGCCCTGAAGAGTTAGAATCCCAATTATGTCACATTCTCAGCAGAGATCACTAATATATTTTAATATTGTATCTTGTTTAGGCCAAGAAGTCAAATTACACCCTCACCCCCAAAGAGTGATAAAATTCAAAAGTACTAGCTTAAGGTTTTTAGGTAAAACCTGGAAAACAGGATGTTGCTCCTCCTAAAAACATGTATGGTGTTTGAGTGCTGTTATTTGAAATTTATTTTCATGTCTTCAAAAATCTAAAAAAAGTTAATGATTGACTTGAAGGTTAAGGACATAAAATTTCTGACTTGTGTGTTTTCTGTTAATAACTTTTTTTTTTTAAAGATTTATTTATTTATACAAGCACTGGGTACAGTCAGAAGCGCAGGAGGGTGAGAGAATTCACTAGAGCCTGGAACAGAACAGGCAGACTGACGAAGAAATACACTGCTGAGGGGAGCAGTGGGCACAGCAGGAGAGGTTTGCGTGCCATGTGGGACCCTCGCTGACAGCCAGAGATCGAACTGGCGCTGCAAAGGCTACAGGCAGCTTTGCAGTCCAGTGCTCAACCGCTGCGCCACCAGGGGAGGCCCTGTTAATAACTTGTTATATGATACTAAAGTTATGTTCCTATCATGGAATTATGCTATGGATGGCTTGAGAAAGATAAGATATAAGGTAAAAAATAATAAATAAAATAAAAATGGTGAAATCTAACTCAATCTTATCAAAGTGGGGATTCACTGACTTACTGAACAAACCAAAGGCAAAGCAGGGGTGCAGGTGCCCCTGTACAGCCCAAGCCCCCAATGCTCCTCCTGGATGCCGGGACCAGCTTGTCCAGGGAGACTGTCCTGGGCCAGCAGAGCCCTGATGGGGGCTGGTTCTGGGTCAGTAGCAAGAAGGTACTTGCCTCTGCTGTCAGCCCTGGACTCAGTGTCCAGCTGTCAGTTCTAGAAATGATCCTGGGTCTCCTGTCTCCCTCAACCTATTTCCTCATCTTGTCAGGGAAAAGGGTCTGTTCATCAAAGGCCCTTTCCAGATGACAGCAGGAGGGTCTCTCAGGCTTGGGTACCCTGAGATGGGGTGTGTATGTGTCACCTGACGACTGAACTTTCTTTCCCTCAGGTGGAAGGGGGTGCAGTTTCCAGTCCCATAGTTGTGTCCTCAATATGCTCACATGCCTTATTATCCTTCATGGTGCTTGTGATAGAACTGAACTTAGAGAAAGCATGTGATTTATTCAAAGTTGTACAATGAGGCGCAGAGTGAGGGTTCCAACCCAGTTTTCCTTCATTTGAGATCATGCTCTTTGCTGCATCACACACTACAGCTTTTCAAAGTGATCTCAAAAGACAATAAAATCAGTACACACATGAACTTGGTAAGCAGGAAGCTGCTGTAATGGGGTCACCTAAAGGCATGGTCACTGGAGGCAGGTTTCTCCCTCTTTAAAGTGAATCTCCCTCCGCAGTGACCATCCCCTCTATTTCTTCTCCCAGAGCCCACGTCCGTTAACTGGGAAAAACACCAGGAAAATCTTGGAGCAGTTTCAGCAGCAGGAACACCCTGTCTAGTATAAAGAGCTGTGGGGTCCTGTCCAGGGAGGCTCAGGAAAGCAGAGAAACATTGCCTCAAGCCTGAGAGAAAGAATGTGGAGACAAAGTAAACCTGGTTTCTGATGACATTGTGTACATCTGAATCACTTCTGCTGCAATCTGAAGTACTATAAGCAAGGCCTCCCCTGGTGGTGCAGCAGTTGAGCGCTGGGCTGAGAAGCTGTCCGCAGCCTCTGCAGTGCCAGTTCAATCCCTAGCCACCGGCAAGGGTCCCACATGGTGTGACAGACCTCTCCTGATGTGCCTGCTGCTCCCCTCAGCAGTGTATTTCGTCAGTCTGCCTGTTCTGCTCCCTGCTCTAGCTCTGGTGAGTTCTCTCACCCTCCCGCACTTCTGACTGTACCCAGTGCTTGCATAAAAAAATAAATAAATCTTAAAAAAAAAAAAAACTTCAGTGATTAAAAAAAACCACAAAGTACTATAAACTAAAGACAATCATTTGTATGAGGTGAATTAGATGTCTTTTTTTTGGCAATTTCATCTTTACTTGAAGGGATGAATGACAAAAACCATCATAATTTAGATTCGGTTAAACTGTACACACTTTTAGAAAATGAATGTGAGTCTTTCCTTTTAATAAAATGAACAGACAGTTGATAACTGATAGTAATTAATTGCCTTGATAAAGTACAAGCTCCAAGTGAAAACCAGATATTGGAAAATAGTGTCCCATCAACTACTTAAATTCGACAAATTCCAGTAGCCACTTGCTTTTCTTTTGGGATGTTTGGAACATAAAATAAATATGATTTTTAAAATTCGATTCTAGAATAATTAACATAAGATCATGTAACCTAGTGGAACAATGCATTACTTCAAGATCCATTCATATGCAAGAGAGGTTTATTGAATTAATGAAAATATTCAATGATATTGTTTTACCATTCACTTTGCAAATAATATTTGAAATACCACCACTTGCATAGCTTCAATTTATATCAAAGTGTAACAAAGTTGAATGCTCACAATTATCTGAATGGTAATTAAAATGCTATTCCTACAAATTTCTGTAAGGCTGTATAGTTTCTCACTGACAAACCATAACAACAGTAAATGCGGGAGAGAATAAGACAATCTAACATTCTTCAGTGAGATAGAGAAGAAAGACAATTGCAAAAATATAGGCTGTAAAAGATCCACTCACTACCCTGATTATTTTCATAAATATTTCTTTCAGACACTTTGTTAACATGCAATGAGTTGTTAATAGTATTCTAAATGAAATAAAAATGTCCTTAAATTGTTTTTATTCATTGCGTGGAAAATATTGTTATAACCTCCTAAAATTATACTCAGGGTCCTGGCTAATTTACTGTATAAGACTGTGCAGAGATCCAGAAAGGAATATGTTTGAGAATCGCTGACTCAATCCCTGGGTCTGGACTCAGGGAGATGGTGTGAAAAGATCTGGTAGTAGAGGAGGTGCCTGGGCAAAGTCCAGCTCCCAGGGTGTGGCTCTCAGGTTTCTGAGTTGGTGTCTCCAGCCTGAAGGAATTCCTGTCTCCACAGTTTCACGTCTCCCTCTCCTAACCTGTGTCTTGTCCTGGACTCACCAGCCACTTCTCACTCCTCATTGCCTGGAGGATTTCCAGAGAGGCCAATCAGCATCACCACAGCCCAGTTTTACAGTCTCCATCGACCTACCTGGACTCTTTCTCCCCTGACGCAGCCATGAGCACGGTCCAAATGTTACAGGGCAGGGAGAGGGGCAGCCCAGACACCCCAAACCTGCCTGCTCTAAATGGGTTCTGCCATCCGCTGCATCAACACAAAACAAATGAGACTTTACTGGGAAGGAACTTTAATACAATTAGTAAACAACACAGGAAAGGTAAAGAACATAGTTTCTAAATCAAGCATCCAAAGTTACCTGTCCCCTCGTGGGTAAAAGTCCACCCAAGCAGGATTGACCCAGAGCAAACCCCGCCCTAGTCTAAAGCACCTTCCAGTGGGGACCCACAGAAAAGGATCAGAAACAACCGGGCAATTCCGGAGGGAAAAGAGCAAGATCAAAATCAAGACAAAAACCACCATTGCCACCTCCTCACGGGTCTCTCACCCACGTCTGTGTCACCCCGTCTACGACCAAAAGACAAGCGCAGTTTCTTCACGCCTCACTTGGCTCCATGCGCCTCTCCCAGGTCTCCTTCTGGCTCCATCCAGCTTCCTTCCTTCCCAGTCTCCTCTGCAGCTGCTTTCTCTGCTCAGCTCCACCCTCCCTTGGGGGGGCAGGAAACCTGCAACCTCCCCCTTTCCTGGGGACCACCCAGTCCACATAGACCCCCCCACCCCTTCAGCGCTGCTTTCCGGGGCCCTGGAGCTGACTCCGGCATGTGCAGGTGAGCGGGTCTCTGGAGGGAAAGGCCTTTGGGGCGGGCGCAGAAGCCCGGGAAAGGCTCGTCTCACCCGCGGCCCGCCGGGTTGTCCTCCCGTCCTGGCCCCTTTCTGTCCGCCCCCCCCACCCCGCCTCCTCTTGCTCCCAGCCCCGAGTCTCGGCCGCTCTCGCCCCTTAATACTCTCAGGAGCCCCCTCGCCCTCCTGCCCTCCCGCCCCCAGGATCGCACCCCGCGCCCCCGCCGGGCGGGATGGAGCGCGCCCTCGGGATGAAGCGGTGCCCGAGGCTGGGCCGCGGCGCGGCGGGTCGGAGGACCGAGCCGCGGGCGGCAGGGGTGGAGCGGGCGCGGCGGGCAGCGGGCGCGGGAGACGGGCAGCGCCGAGGCGCGCGCGGGCGCGGTGGGAGCGACCGGGCGGTCGGCGCTGCCGCAACTACTACAGCCCGGGCGGGCCCGGTGAGCGAACCTGGGCCCGGGCGTGACCCCAGCCCCGCCGAGGGCGCGTCACCCCAGACTCCACGTCCGAGCCGCACCCGAATAGGTTCATTCCCAGCGGGGGGGTGGGGGTGACGCGGGGTGACGCGGGCGGGGACGGGGTCTCACACCCTCCGGAGGACTTTCGGCGGCTAGTGAAGCCCGACGGGCGCTCCCCCTGCGGCTGTTGTCAGTGCCCGGATGGCGAGGGTGGCGAGGAGGAGGAAGGCAAAGCCCGGGGCCTGCACCCTCAGACCGTGGCGGACGCCCTGGCTCAGCTCTCACGGCTCTGGCGGGAGTTGGCGCGCTGGCAGGAGCGCCTGGGGAGCCGCCCGGAGGGGCTGTCGGGGAAGCAACACAGATGGAAGGAGTCGCTGCTGGAAGAGGCGCAGTCGCTACTGGAGGAATCGGGGTCGCTACTCAGAGAAGCGGAGTCGCCACTAGGAGAAGTGGAGTTCTTGGAGGAGACGCTGCAGCGCCTGGGCAAGAGGGACCCCGAAGTCTCCCAGCCTCCCTCGGGCTGGAACCCCCCCCTCGGGGAAAATGGAAGGCTGGTCAGAGCAGCACCTGCTTCTAGTCCCAGAGGGAGGAGCGTCCCTGGATGTCACGTTCTCACTGGAGAGACTCTCGCCCAGAGGGCCCTGCTTTCCCTCAGGAACACTTAAGGAAGTCCGTCTCTGCTGAGCTGGAGGGCACGCCACTCTGAAATATAGCCCTTCACGGGGTCCTTTTGACCCACCAGCCATGTTGGGAATCTCCAGTTTCTCGCAAGATCTTGTTATTGGTTGTGTTACAGGGCCGGGGGAGGGGCAGCCCAGACCCGGCAAACCTGCCTGCTCTAAATGGGTTCTGCCATCCGCAGCATCAGCACAAAACACAAGACTTTAATGGGAAGGAACTTTAATACAACTAGGAAACAATACAGGAAAGGCAAAGAATATAGTTTCTAAATCAAGCACCCAAAGTTACCCGTCCCCTCGTGGGTAAAACTCCATCCAAATGGGATTGGCCCAGAGCAAGGCCCCAAAGCCTGCCACAAGTCTAAAGCATCTTCCAGTGGGGACCCACAGAAAAGGATCAGAAACCACCAGACAAGTCTGGAAGGAAAAGAGCAAAATCAAAAGCAAGACAAAAAACCGCCATTGTCACCTCCCCACGGGTCTCCCGCCCACATCTGTTTCAACCAGTCCACAACCAAAAGGCAAACGTGGTTTCTTCACGCGTCTTTTTAGCTCCACGTGCCTCCTCCAGGTCTCCTTCTGGCTCCATCCTGCTTCCTCCCTTCCTCAGTCTCCTCTGCAGCTTCTTCTCTCTCTGCTCAGCTCCACCCTCCTTTTGGGTGGGACATGAAACTTGGAACCTCCCCCTTTCCTGGGGACCACCCTGTTATAGTTGGAGGACATTTCTCTGACTTGACTCCTGATTTTCTGAGTCCCCAGGTCAAGAACAAAAGTCTGTGCGCTTCTCCTTAGAGAACTGCGTCCTAATAGCCTGAGCTCCCGCCCTAATTCTAGAACTTTCTAAGGAATAGATTGTCCCAAACTTCCCAGACCAGCTCTTTTCTAGGTTTTGTGCTTCTTCTTTCCATACCCATTGCCTTGTCCATTCTGAGGCTAGCCAGTGAGGCAGCTTTAGTCTCCATAAGGAAAAATCCAAATTGTGACTGTTCTGACCCTTTCTCCTCAGATCCCCTGAAGATCCACCCCCCCATCGCTGTGCATGCAGTCACCCTGAAGGGGGGCACCCTGGGCTTCCACCCTGAGAACATCATGACCAGGCAGCCTAATGGTGAGAACCTGACCTAGCACACACAGCTGGTGGAGACCAGCCAGGCCTTAGGGGGATGGAACCTTCCAGAAGTGGGTGGTGCCTTCTGGAAAGGAGCTGAGATACATGTGCCATGTGCAGCATGAGGGGCTACTGGAGCCCGCAGTCCTAAGATGGGGTGAGGAAGGGGATGTGGGGACACGGGCTCTTCTCAGGGCATCAGGAACCTTTCTAGAGACCTTCAGAGGGTCAGGATGAGGCCTGGGGCTCAGGATATGACCTTCACTTCCCTTCCAGTGCCCCCTCCTCAGTCCTTCAATCCCACCGCGGGCATCATTGTTGGCCTGGTTCTCCTTGGAGCTGTGCTCGTAGCTGTGCTGATTATATTTGTAGTTGTGATGTGGAGGAAGAAGCGCTCAGGTCGGGAAGGGAGTGGGGGATCTTGTCTACTGAGGCTACAGGTAGAATATGCCCTACCTGGTAATGGGAGGTACCATCCACATACTGTGTTGCCCAGTCTGGAGCTGATTGCTAACTCTCTTTTGTAAAGCATTTTTGAAAATGAATCACAGCTTGTTCACCTTGATAATTCTGGTGATGTGGCCCTGATCCCAGCAAATGGCAAGGGGGAAGGTCCCTGCTGAGGACAGACTCCAGGAGGTGGTTATACAAGTCTCCTCTCCTTTCTTCATTTTCCGAGTCCTGCTCTGGATCTTCAGTCACAGTTCAGGAAACTTCCCTGTGGTCCAGGACTAGGGGATTCCTTCATAACTTCATGGGCTGACTCCTCGCTGGTCTGACATGGTGTCTCTTCCTACAGGTAGACAAGAAGGAAGACTAGACTTAGACTAGTCTTAGACTTCAGGTAAATGTGGATCAGAGGTTGGATCCCTAAGCCCCTGGGGACAGTGTAGATGGAGCCCATGGGGGAGTCACCCTCATTAGTCCCTCCTGTGGTCTCATCTCTCTGTGGCTCTGACCAGGTTCTGTTTTGTCCTCCCCCAAGCAGTGCCCAGGACTCTCATGTGTCTCTCATAGCTGCTAAAGGTGAGACCCTGGAGGCCTGTGAATGGGAGGGGCTGGGGCAGAGAGGGTGGGACCAGGTTATGGGGAAGCTGTGAGGGGGACATTCTGAGGATGCGGTGGACTATTGAGAATGTCAATACTTATGTGTTTCTTTGAATTCTTTTATAATCCTTTTCCTTCAAAATGTGAGCCAGCTGCCTTGTGGGGGCCAAGTGATGCTGGATTTCTTCTCACCCCCACTTTGTGACTTCAAGATCCTCTGGTTTTCTTTGCTGCAAAAGGCATCAGAATGTGTCTCTGCTAATGTGAGGAAGTGGGGAGACTGGCCCAGCCCTGCCTACCAGGCCCCTCCCCACACTGACCTGTGTCTCTCCTTGATGACTTTCCTGTTCCAGCAGCAGCTTAGTCTGCCCCTGTCTTTGTGTTTTCCTCCAGAATAGTAACTACTTCCCTCTTGAAATAATAGAGTTCTGAAATTACTGTTTGTAAGCTTGCCTGATGGGTTGGGGGCCTAATAAAAATGATTCCTAAAATTTGAGATGAAATGAATGGGAAACCTTCCAGAAACACATGTTTGCTGTGCTGAGTCTGTGCAGGTGGGGGCGGGAGAGGTTGTGAGGGGCCGAGGGGGATGGGGCCTGTGTTCAGTCGGTGCTCAGTGTGTCGTGGGCTTTGACATGGTCACTCCTCAGGGGTCATCTCTCTGCTACGTTGTCCTTGTCCTCATGGCCTGTGATCACAGGGACTCAGACCCCACCTGTGTTGTCATGTCTGGGCAGGGAGTGCTTGTGTGGCCAGGTCTGCCCATGCTCAGCTCAGGGTCTAGCCTTCTGCCCTCAAATTTCTGTGTATTTATATTTTGCTTCTTTGGTTTTTATTGCTTTATACCTATTCTTTTTCATGTTTAGAGATCAGGTCTCATGTCTCTGACATGCTCTCTCTGATGGCAGCAGGGGCACCTGTCATTGTCTCCACAAGGCCCAGGGTGTCCCTTTCCCACAGGAGTCTGGTGAGATGAATTTCCAGACTCATCTGATTTTTGGCCTCATTTTAGGACTTTTCTGGATTGTCATTTCCATCTTTTCCAACTCCTTTTTAAAGAACAAAATCCTGGGCCTCCCTGGTGGCGCAGCGGTTGAGCGCTGGGTTGCGAAGCTGCCCGCAGCCTCTGCAGCGCCGGTTCGATTCCCGGCTACTCCCCGGCCACTGGAGGAGGGTCCCGCATGGCGCGCAGAACTCTCCTGCCGCCCGCTGCTCCCCTCAGCAGTGTACTTCGCCCTTCTGCCTGCTTTGCTCCCTGCTCTGGCTCTGGTGAATTCTCTCACCCTCCCGTGCTTCTGACTGTACCCAGTGCTTGTATAAATAAATAAATAAATCTTAAAAAAAAAAAAAAAGTACTTTAAAAAAAAAATAAAGAACAAAATCCTGATATTGCTAGAGAGGGGGATTTGATAATTTCCTGGTGGATTTAGAGATGTTCCTGATAGATTTCTATTTTTACCTACAATATCTCCCTGTAACCCTGCCCTTAAATATAGTAACCTCAGTGCTGGTGCTAATTGAGACCCATTGGTTGATGGAGTCAGTTACCTTCATAGTTGGCTGAAAAATAAGACCCCTAAACCTCGGAACCTGGGCCTCCCTGGTAGCCTAGGGGTTAAGTCTCAGCGCTATCACCTCTATGCCCTGAGTTCGATCCCTGGCCATGTTTGATCCCCTACATGGCACAGCAGACCTCTCCTCTCTCCCGCTGCTCCCCTTAGCAGTATATTTCAGTAAATCTGCCTGTTCTGCCCCCCACTCTCTCTCTGGTGAATGCTCTTATCCCCCTCCCCACACCTCTGGCCTACACCCCAGTTCTTCACTAAAATAAATCTTAAAAAAAAAAAATCTACCTAAGAATTTTCTTTTCAAAAGAAATACACCTATGAAATGTGCCACATTAGTAAAGACACTGTCTGTAGAGCAGGGAGTTGCTCTATACTCATGACACAACTGATAACTATTGTACCAGATGTGTGACAGGCTGTCACACATCTAGGAAGCCTCAATGAACGAAAAATATGCACAACTTGTGGCCTGTGGAGAGTGTGGCCTAGTGGGGAGGACTAGGTTGTGCAGTGGGTTGAGCGCATTGCTGTGAAGCTGTCCACAGCCTCTGCAGCATGGGTTCAATTCCCAGCCAGCCAGGGAGATACCCACATGGTGCGACAGACCTCTCCTGTCTAGCCCATAGCTCCCCTTAGCAGTGTTTTCTGTCCGTCTGCCCGTTCTGTCTCTGGTGAATCCTCTCACCCTCCCATGCCTCCGGCCCGTACCCCAGTTCTTATAAATAAGTCTTTAAAAAAGCAATAATAGGAATTGATAGGACTGTGCATATTTAGACATGGACTTTACAGTGTTTCCTACAGCTGGGCTGTGAAAAAAGGGTCAAGGATGACACTCAGTATTTCAGACTGTGCAGGCAAAGATGTGGAGCCTCAGTGACATGGGGAAGACCCCAGAAGAACTGCTTTTTGTGTAACTGTGTTGATTTCTTAAATGACATACATTCGGGGTGTGTCTGCCAGGCATTGGGGTTCAGAGTGAGCAGCCCCAGGACTCATTGTGTCTGTAACTCAGAGTCCAGCTGGAGACGGGCTTGGGAGTCACTGGGCCATCCTTTCTGAGGAGGCGACAGGTGACCTGAGCCCCAGGGGGAGCAGGAGGTGACAGGAAGGAGAGTAACCCCGAGGAGACAGTGGTGAGGGTCCTGGTGTTGGGCGCGGACAGGTCCAGGGCTGAGCTCAGTCAGGAGCTGGAGCCGCTGCAGCAGGTGCTGAGGAGCATGAGCCTTGCCCTGGGCCTGGACTCCAGCCTGTCCCCCCACACTCCAGCATGTGGGTGGGACCCGCACAGGGACTCACCCCCCAGGGTTTCAGTTTCCTCACCTGTGTGTGGTGAGGTTAGGGATGCGGTGAGGGTGGGGAGCTGACGCCTGTGAGTCTCAGCTCAGGGCCTGGCACATGGTGGGCACTCAGCTCCTGTCTGCTCTCCTGGCTGCAGGGAAAGGGGGTGGGGCAGAAAGTGGAGGTGATGACATGCCCTGTGAGCCCTCCCTGCCTGGTGTGGGGAGCAGAGAAGGCAGGTGAGGGTCCATGTTGAGAAAGACCTGGGGTGCCGTGGGGAGCAGAGACGAGAGGGTGAGAGTGTGCGGGGCAGGGAGGAGGCTGGTGTGGTCACCTCCACCCTGAGCGTCTCCTCTGCCCTCTGTTTTTTCCCCTTCCTCACCTACCTTGCGGGGCAGTCATGACCTCGGGGCCACGACTGGACACCCCTGGCAGGGGGGACCTGCAGCGTCTGCCTGGAGACAGGGGCCTGGGGAGCATCTTCTGTGGCCACAGCTTCTGCCAGGCCTGTCACGGCCGAGTCACTCTCAGACCCACTGAGGGCCACGTGCTGTCCATGATGCCAGGAGCCACCCAAGAGGGGACAGCAGCCCCTTTGGGACCCGGTCAGTCTGTGCTCTAGCCCCAGCTCTGGAGCCCAGGGGAGAGAACCCAGATAGTAATGGGGTCTGTGGGCAGCACAGGAAGAGGACATTTCCCATGTCCAGCAGACCAGGAGGGTGTGGTTTTCAAAGACCTCAAAACACAAATGTCACCCAGTGCTGCAGAAGGGGAAGTTTCTAGGTTTTCTGTGATTGGTAAACTCTAGGTCTATTATTCTGAGTCTTTAAATTTGCAAGTCTTGGTGGCTTGTTCTATTATCAATTACCAGGCACTCTCCTAGAGAGATAAACTCCTGCATTCTCAAATCACCGCTGCTGGCAACACTAGAATCTCTTTGAATCTGGTTGTCTTGTTAAAATGACTTGTGGACATAAATACCTGCATTATCAAAGGCCCCTCCTAGATGACAGCAGGGGGGTCTCCAGGCTTGAGGACCCCTGGCCCTGAGAAGGGATGAGTAGGGGTCACCGGATGACTGACCTTTCTTTCCCTCAGGTGGAAAGG